TTATTAACAAAACGAATAAAAATACACCATATATGCCTAATAAAATAACAAATTACTTAGGCTACACAAAAACTAGGCTAAATTATTTTTGTTACTATAAAAAAATCTAAATGACGGTGGGGGGCGGTGCCGCTGTAGGCAAATGACGTAACCGGTGTTGCGGCTTAACACCGGTATAACCGAAAACACCATCTATCGCAGCAAGCCTAGCACATTCCACACAAAAGCTGTTCCAAAAGGTAGGCTGCATTTTAAGATTCAAAAGAGATGGTCAAATTGCAAGTTAGTATAAATGTAGTTCAAAGAGTTGAGCATGACGCTTGCAACATCAAGGTCACGGGTTCGATTCCCAAGAAAATGCATGAACTGATAAAATGTATACTTCTATGCAATGTAAGTCGCTTTGAATAAAAGTGTCTGCCGAATGCATACTGTAAATGTAATGTTGCATGTATCACTCATAGAGGAGGCAATCCCAGAATGCATTGTGATGAGTACAGTGTACATACTTTTATTATATATTCACAATACTGAAAAGTATCAATAAAAATTGTCCTAATGAAATATGGTCTAACTGGATCACGTCCCTATCTTAGAAACATTTCAACACTTCTATCTGGTATAGAGGCACAATATCCAGCAGAAGGTTTCATGAATTCTTCATACAGCTCACGTTCCTCTGAGTTTCTCCTGTACGTCTGAAGCGATTTAAACTTCCTCACAAGGAAGGCTGGCTTATTAGGTTCTCTTCAAATCTCTGTGAGTGTGATTTGTTTTTTGCTTTATCAGAGTGAGTTTAAAACAATGATAAAGCCTAAGAAAAGTGGGTGAATACAGATCTGACGTCAGGGCCATATTACATTATATATTATATAACATACTACTACAACTACTAATACCACTAAAAAAATTATAATAATTGTACATATATTATATAAAATGGAAATGCTTACATATATATATATATATACTGTATATGCATATGAACAGATAGGCTTGAGGTCTTTTCCCAAACCTTTTTACTTTTTCTAATTTTACTAATAAAAAAAATAATATCATAAATAATATAATTAATTCAAACCGATAGGGTGTTTGAGGTGCTCTAGTGCTGTGAATGCTAGCTTCCACCATTCAGCAGTTTTTCTGAACTCCAGAATGCACTCTTTGTGTATGTCCCCAGTTTGCATCTCTGCTTGCTTATTGACTGGCACAAGAGACGGATCCGTCAACCGGTCTGATCCTTTCTTACACTGGCCGCGGGCCATCCTCATTGTCAAGCCCCGCTCTACAGTGTGAGAACATCAGTAATTCAAGACTGAATCTGAGCTCTAAAGCCTTTCAGAACAGCAATGTGATATTCAGTAAAGTGAAAAAACAGCCTCCACTCCTCGAATTCAGACAACATGTGCTGCTATTCATCTGGAGTTTGCAGCACACATGTCCCAGCCGGCCTGGACGTAAATATGGCACTAATTCCCCACCGGGACATCATCAAATGACAAGACAGCAAAGTGATTCCAGCATCAGCCACATCAAGAGCTGACAAAACATGTCATTCCTCATTCAAGGCAACAGCAGAGATGCTGAACGGCCGGAACCATCCCAGTGGGATCGAGAGAGAGGAAACGGATAGACACAAAGGACAGACAGACCTGTGACTTCATGAAGCATTTCCGACTGGGAGACGGGGTGGGATTTCTGTCCTAATAATCAGTGCAACCTAAAAAGCTGACAACTAATATAGCAACAAAGGAAAAGGAACCAGAGGACTAGTTCTAGACTAAATCATTGCACTAAAAGCAAAATGAAAAGTATAAAATATAAGTTTACAAATGTAGGGTGGAAAATGCAGACAGAATCGCAAAATCCAGTCATAAAAATGGAATTGAATGCATAAAGTGCAATGTCACGGAATTTAGGATGAATAAATCAAAAGTGGTGCTGAACAATTAATCAAATTGCGATATGGACTAGTGTGTGTGAATTTTAAAGCGTAAAAAGACTATATAATATGAAGTCTGCATTTTCGTCAAGTTTCATAGGGCCCTAAAAATGCCATTTTTGATTTAATTAACTTTTAATTAACTGTTGTTAAATTGTGTAAGTTTCATGATTTCAATTATTTAGCCATACCTTTTGATTTCATTTAAAAATTTAAACTGAATCCACAAAAACTAAAAATGAAAAAAAAAAGGAATCCAGAAAAAATAAATAAAAAAAAAAGAATTTGAATGAATTAATTCATAGGGCATTAAATATGTAATTTATGCTAAACTTTGAATAAATTGTTGTTACGTTGTGTGAGTTTTATGATTTCAGTTAATTAGACATAACTTTTGATTTCATTTAACCACTAAAACTGAATACAGAAGAATTTAAAATGTAAAAAAAAAAATAGAATCCAGAAAATTTTAATAAAAAATGTAAAAAATAAAAAAAAAAACGGAATTTGGAAAAAAATAAAACAGAATAGGGCCCTACAAATGTCAACAGGTGCATTTTCAATGAAACCTTACTCCACTTTTGGCGCAAATTCATCTGTTATTTAGTAGAATCTAGTCAAATTAGACAAACACCAACATGGACAGGTTGCGTGACACTGTCATCTTCCAAAACATGAACTACAAAAGATTAAAGAAAACATGGTTTTGCTTCAGTGCCCAGAATTGACATTGGACTTTTAATATATTATATAATATAATATATTTAATATATTTTTACATTTAATTTACATTGTTTACATATATACAATATGCTCTTTTGGCAACACCAAAACAGCATATTGAATAAAAGCAAACTAACATGTGCTTAAACCTGAATATTACCATGAACTGTGCAGATCCAACTATGAGGATGAGGATGTTGCACAACCTGTCCAGGATGAGATCTGTATAATTTGACAAGCCTCTAGAAGTTACCGATGAAATTGCGCATGGATGCATGACCTTTGACATCAACAACAAAAGATATGTAAAGTGATTTCACTGATATATAGAGTAGGGATGGGCATTTTTGGCTGCAATTTTTCATTTCGATCATCGATAGGTTTCAAAAACGAGTAATCGAGTACTCGGGGGGGCGGGGCATGTTCATCATGGAGATAATGAAAATATCTGAAGACTGTTATGAAAATGAATGTTAAAAATAAAAATATGACATGAAAACCTGTCTATGAAATCATGAACACGTGATTAGAACACTGTTAGATTATGATGCAGCAATGTTATTAATAATGAAGCATCTAAAAAGGAATAGCTGCCTGAGGTGAAGAGTGACTTTATGCCAATAAACTGAAGCTCATTCTATGACATATCCTATGATATTAATCAGATAACTTAGATACATAACATAGATGTAACATTACAACTAACTTGTATCTGCACAAAAGGATGCAAATGCCTGTGAACTTTAAGTTAAGAGAGAGAGAGAAAAAGGGAGAGAGCTCCCGCCGTGATGCGCTTTCATGACAGCGCCGCGTAAACATAAAACTCTGTCTGCATTTGTGATCGGAGAAATGACAAACAACAAGTGCTACTCTTTGGATTTGAGACTTTAGTCTTTGCAACTTTACAGATCTTCTTTATGCACCAAAAGCTTGTAATACTCCAAAGAGAAAGGAAAAATTGAAATCGCATTATATGACCCCTTTAAACTATAAAAGCAGCCCTGGACAGCAACAGATAAAAAAACAGAAGTAATGACCTCACATCAACATGTTTTATCATTTTACAGGTGTCAATTATCTAAAGCTAGAGAATGATCTCAGAGAATGACACTTGTCTGAACTCTGGGGCTCTGTTCTAGTGAGCTAAGATGCTGTCTAGATAGTCAGCTGCCTTCTAAAGCAACTTCATAAATGAAACGGTACCTAAAATAACTGATCTGTGTTATAGAAAAAGCACTCCTCACATGAAGCAAACAGGTGACTTGACTCACAATCAATTTCAACTGAGTTTGATGTTCACATGTTTTTAAGATTACGGTGAAATACTCGAATAAGCATAAAAAATACATAAAATTCTCAAGCCTCATATACCATTTTACGTTTTTCTACTTTTCAAGTGTTGTTAATGTATGTTTTATTTAAATCTGAATATCTATCATCAAAATATTATTTTTTAACATTTTAAAACTACAATAGTCTAAATAAATAAAACACTGAAATGAACAAAAACCTTGAACATAAACATTTCAAACTTTGTTGTATGAAAATTATGAAACAACTCATTCCGAAAGTTTAGTAGTTTTTAAATAAGATATAAGTTATATTTCTCATCTGCAATTTTAGATCTGCAAAAGAGACATGCAATGTTCCCTATTGATTTGTCCACCATCATAATTATGCTCCCTAACTTTTGAAAGAGCCTTAATGTTCCCTAATGCCTTAAAATGCTGCCTACACAGGCAGCTCACTAGGTTTCGAGCAGAGCCGCTGTGTTTGGGTCTTCTATCCTAATTCTTGCTCAATCACCAAAAATATTTCCATAGCAACATCCCATGATCCCAGGGAATTCAAGGGTACACATACACACTCATCTCCTCCTAATTCTCCCGGAGCGTTCAGCGCTCTTGCACACCTGTTTCCACAACAGTGCCATAAACCAGAAACCACATCATAAATCGCAGTAAATAAATCCGACACTTTGATCAGGTACATGCTGACATTTCTCTGATGCATATCAGCCACATGACATCATCAGCAAACCTCAGGCTTCCCCAAGTGATCTTGTTCATGCAATATTACAAGTCTAATATCTTCTGATGGGCTTTATGTGGTGTGAATCAACAAATTAGCTGCAAAACGACTCCTTTAAAAGCAGGACATCAAAGAAGAGGTATCCACTGTGACGTCATCTTTAAAGAAATGGTATTTCCAAAGCAGAAAAGCTACTAAATTTAGGTGAAGTGTCACGATTTCCAGACCCATAAATCACAAGTGTAAAATTCTCTGATTTGTTCATGACCGAAGCGGATACAGAATCAGTTTCATGTGTTCATACCTGCATCCTTCTTGTTTTTCCCGCCATCTCTGCTCTTCTTCAGCACGGCCTTGAACATGGCGTGTCTCCAGGAATCCCTTCACGACTACGCTGTGGAAACACGAGAGATTTTTCACATGAAGCAGCAGGTTCGTACGCAGTTGGTTTGGTAAAATCAGAAGTTCTTGCAGTCTAGAGTTACACTCCACCCGAGAGAAAATTCTCCACAGAGACCTTTGAAATGCATACTGTATGTCAGGGCTTCTTTGACTATTTGACTACATGCTCTTTAAATCCCAGAAGGTGACTTTTATTAAAACTATCAGATTCACACTTTCTTTAATGGAGGTCACATTGCTTGTATCATCGCAAAATGTAAACTATATCATTTCCCAGCTCTGATCTGTTAAGTGCAGCTATAAGGCATGAAGATATTATAAACATTAACATCATAATCTTCTATAAAGCTGCTTTGAAACATTTGACAACTTTAAACTTACACTGCAATTTTCACTCAGAAATTGCTAGTGCTATTTTACAAAGAAACAGCAAGCAATACATTGAATTAAATGTGAAATATTGAAGTAGAAAAACTGATATAGTATTTTCTTCTCAAAGTACTCCAATAATCTGTTTTATTCACAACTTTGAAAAATCTTTTTTTTTTACAGTGTAAAAACTTCTTAGCATGCATTCATTGTTTACTTTTGCTACTTGCCAAATGTCTTTAATGTATTTTTTACAAAAACTTTTAATCTTAAAATCTGAATATTTATGATAAAATAAAGACTAATAATCTAAACAAAAAACTAAAATAAACAAACCTTAAATATAAACAATTTCAATATTTTTGTGTGAAAATGTTGGGGGGGGGAATTTACAAATTTTACACAAATTATTAAAGTCCTTCAGTTGTGGCATCGTTTCCAAGATGACCAACAATTCTGTCACTAAAAATGAATGTACTGGTTATGAAGGGAATATTTTGATTGTACATCATTTCCAATTAAAATTAATTAAGGTGAATGGCTTGTTGCATCCTCATTTGCAAATCACTTTGGATAACAGTATCAGCTGAATGAATAAATGCAAATGTAACGCAAGTAATTTTACCAAATGTCATTCCCACAACAGAATGTTATCAGACACAGTTGATATTTGAAGATGTGATAGAATCTGGTTTATAACCAAAAACAACAAAACCAACAGAATTATTGTGTGATGCATGTTCAGTATGTCTACATTATTAACAGACAAATCAAATAAACGAGTGTGTGTGAAGAGTGCGTTTCAAGAGAGTCCACAGGGCCAAAAGTGCTCATTGCTGAAGAAATGTATTTCAAAAATAATGTATAAAAAAGAACCTAATCTAAATAACTTCTTGTATATTTTATTTCTCCATTTGGCCAAATTCTGGGATTTTTCCCACAGTCCACCCACTCTAATGTGTGATCACTGGTGGGCCGGCATGGAAAGAATTCTTCAATATTTGCACAGAGCGGCTCTGCTCCGCTATCTTGTTATTCCGGAAAACAAGCTGTTGGATTCCCAGCATTCCACATTTAATTGATGCTAAACGGATTAATTTGGGATTCGCGTGCCACTTGTCATGATAGCGCTGAGGTTCCTTCACCTCTCACATGTTATTTCAAAATTAGCAACACAGGTCAAACACATTACAATACGTCTATTTATCTGGTTAGAGTGTTTCTGCACTGTAAACTTCACTCAGGGTGCTATGGAAACCCGTTTCTGCCAAAGAATTTAAAAAATATATAAAAGGTAATTATGACTCACAATTACAATGATGAATCATGATGATTTTTTTCCTCATAGTTTACATCTTGCAATTCTGACTTTTTTTTTCAGAATTGTGCGTCATAAGCTTGCAATTGCAAGTTTACATCTCGCTATTTTGACCTTTTTTTTATCAGCAGATGAGTTTATATCTCACAATTCTAATTTTTTTCTCAGAATTCTAAACTTCCATATTGCAATGTTGACTTTTTTTCTCGGAGTGTAAAATTCTGTTTTTATTTTTCCACAAAATAAAAATTAAGTAATTGCAACCTTTTTTCTCACAATTCTGCCTTTTTCTTGTATCATATTTCTAAGTTTATATCTTGCAATTCTGACTTTTTTCCTCAAATTCTGACTTTTTTCTTAGAATTCTGAGTTTACGCCGCAATTATCAATTATCTCACAATTCTCACTTTCTTCCTCACAAATCTGTTTATATCCTACAGTTCAGAGTTTATATCTCACAATTATAGCTTTTTTTTCTTGCAACACTGAGAAAAAAAGTCAGAATTGCAACAAAAATGTCAGAATTGTGAGAAAAAGATAAAAAGTAGCTATTTTTTTTTAAATCTTGTGGCAGAAACAAGCTTCCATTTGGTACATCCTGCAGCTAGTTTGTGTAAACAGGCAGATGACTAAATAAAAACACACCAGGTTTGTGCAACATTATTATTACCACAATAGTATTTCCTTTCAATAGAAAAATGAATGCTTCACACATTATTTGATCTCATACTTTGTTCCATTTGATTTGTTTTTGTACTACAAATGTGTTACGTTATGTGTTTTTGTTGTATTTTGTAATTGTTTTTATGTTCTTCCTATTCTCTTTGTGTGTCTTTTGAGTTGCTAGATCGTCGCTGATTTGCCAATTGTGGCACCGCCTGTCAGCGGTTCTTGGACGCTCAGCTAGCGGTATTTGTATTTTATCTTTGTATGTTTATTTTATTTATTTATTTTGTGAGGTTAATTCTATTAATTTATGTTATTTTGTTAATTTTGTTTGTATGTTAATTTAGGTCCCTCCCGAGGAGGTGAGCGGGCGGTCCGATCCGCATCGATCGCAGCTCTTGGATGAAGAAGACCTGCTGCGGCCTCATCCATAGTGAGAAGTCAAAAGTTGAGGAGAGAGACCCTCGACATTTTACAATGCATTAACTAATGCATTAACTAACTTAGTATAGAAATGTTAATGTAAAAACGTGTTGCAATAAGTACAAAATACCTTTAACTAAGACTAATTAAGGCTATTAAAATCTATATCAGGCACATGATCAGCCAAAGACAAAAATGAAGGAAAAAAGGATTAAACTAATTAAAGTGATAAAGAAATAGGCTATACCACCAAAATAATACCAATTATTTTACCATAAAATGTCAAATAAAAAATAAAATAAATAATAATAATATTTATTATTAGACATATTTTACTATAAAAAATTAAAATCAACCATAAAAATATTAATAAGATTATTAGTAATATTATTATTTTACAGAACAACAGTAAAATTACAATAGTAACATTTATGTTTTTATTTATATTTTCACAGATTTATGCAATTCACATACTTTTCAGATCGTAAAATATGGGAAAAAAATCACATCCCTGCCATATAGACTGCTTTAAGTATTACATTAAAGAAAATGAAAAATAAAGTGAACAACTGAGTGTTTGTGTGGATTAGATGTTCATAATAATTTATCAAAACACACTCAAGACAAACTCTGATCTGTGATCTGTCTCCGTTTGAGTTTTTCCATCCTGGCATTTGCTCCTGTTACAGGATAGTGAAGTGAGCCTCCTAAAAGACTCAAATGTGCAGCACATGCAAGCAATTACAGCAGCAAGTCTCATTCCAGATGAGATCTCTCACTCCATCCATCTCTGAAGCAGGAGCTCTGAAATGGATGAGATGAGAGAACAGGAATTCTGCCACCTTCACAATCCATATAAGTAGAGCTGGGTGACATATGACAAAAAAATACTTTGAGTTATTTTTCAGCCTTTTGACAATCTTTGATATTTATGCATCCTACTCAGAAAAGGCTTGAAAGAGGGAGAATTCTTTAAAAAAAATCTGGAATCTTTCCACAAAAAAAAACAAAACAGTAGATTCAAAACATTGTATAGTAAAACACAGGAAAAATGGCAAAATAATCAAGCCATGCTTTTCCACAGTGTTCTTTATCAAAAGGAATATTAATATTTCATTATTTTCAATAACATGCACCAATATAGCAATACAAACAGCCATATTTGCACATATTTTTTTTACATTTTATTATATAAAAAATGCCACAAAGAGATTTTGGTAAACATTTTTGAGTGATGCTTTACATAAATCACTGAATCTGAGTTTTAAATCAATTTAGTGAAACAGACAGTTAGAAAAGATTCATGGAAATTAATTAAACTAAAGTTCAATTCTGATTTTTGTTATTGAATATATTTACATTAATAGCAGGGCTCAACGCTAAGGATTTTTTCTACCGGCCCGGTCTGGCTAGTGGTTCAAATGTTTACTTGCTCTGCCAATAGTTTCACTGGCCCTGCCACAAAAAAAAATAAAATAGTTGCTGTTATAATTTTTTTTTTTTTTATTATAATTAAAAAATTTTTTACCCATGTTGTCTTTTATTCTAATAAATAAGCTTATATGACACCAAAATTTTAGATACCAATTAAATTACAAATTTTACAATTCTCGATTACAATTTCGATAACACAGCAAAAACTACTACAACTACAAATTTGTGGTTAAAAGTATATACATTTTTATTTTTTTTAGAAAATGACAGATGGTTTGAAACTTTGGCTAGATAAGACTCTTATTCCTCGGCTGGGATCGTGTCGAGCCCTTTGAAGCGGCATTGAAACTGCAATTTGGACCTTCAGCCCGTTGGTCCCCATTGAAGTCCATTATATGGAGAAAAATCCTGGAATGTTCTCCTCAAAAACCTTAAATTCTTTGCGATTGAAGAAAGAAAGACATGAACATCTTGGATATAAATTAGGGGTCGACCGATATGTGTTTTTCAGGGCCGATGCCGATACCGATTATTACAGATCAAGTAGATAACCGATA